CCGGTCCGACATACGTTACATCCAATTGTTTTTTCTATAAATACAATTTCTTTTGTTCTTTTTACTGACATTAACACGGGCACCCATTCTCCATGAAAATGAACATGGGTGTACAACAGGCACCCAGGTTTCATATTACAATTTTTTTGAATTTTTAAAATTTTCTAATAGGTTTTTAATGCTATATTCATATAGCTAGGGTGTGTGGCACACCCGAGAGCCACAAATCCTCTTATGTGCCTTTGGGTCTTGTATTGTACTGTATATGCCATATATATACCCGCTTGTGTGTTGAACAAATTGAGTGGAAGGACTGCCAAGTCCCACAGAAAGAAATTCTTCGTACCTAGCAACCATTGTTAAAATGCCGGAATATCCCTTGTGAAAATTAATAGTTGTTTACCATATGTAGTTTGGTGATTCTTCAAATCGGCATATCCACTCTGCTATCTTTCACCCCTTCTCATCTCTGCTGCTCATCTCGTGTGCACACAAATCTCCTTCCAACTCGTATATGTGTTATGGAGATCATGATGATTTGTAATAGGAACTTATGAAAATAGAATGTCATGTCTCGCAAAAATTAGTTTTGTGTGCATTCCAATCGGCGATGATGCTCCAAACCAAATGTCACAAATCCTACATTCAAAATTTGTCTGTCTCCCCCTTCGCCGCACCAAAAAGAATGAATGGAAACAAAAAAGGTTCAAAATTTTGAGTGGGGCCCCCTTTTCGGAAATACTAAGTGGCGGACGTTTTCTGGGAGGGGATGACAAGTGAATGTTTTCTAAGGCATTTTTAGGTGGTAGGAGATGGCAAATTCTGCTTGTTTTGCCGCAAAATGTTCTTTCCAGAAAACGCTCACAAATACCACCCCTCCCAGCGAACGTTCGCCAACTATTGTGGTCCTTTTTTTTTTTGCCACATCGAACATCTTTTCAAAAATTTCAAAAAAAAAGAGAGAAAAACTTTGTAACAATCTTTGCTTATTACTCCCACAAATAAATATCCATATTAAAGACGATGTACATATCTGAACTGATAAATGGGCAGTGTTTAAATTTCCAGATATACTGATTAAATGCAATCATCACTGACTACTGATGCTCCAAATGTCGCCCTCTGCTCCTCAATGTCGCCGTCTCTTTCTCCCCCTTCTCGCAACAGAATCAGGCAGAGGAGCCACCAAGATCCCATCTATAAATACCACCACCTCCGCCGATCGTCTTCCACCTCGCCGATTTGTCTCCACCCACCCACCTGCCGTCCTCACTCCTCTCCGCCGGCCCGTTCGTTCAGAGGCACGAAATGGCCGTGTCGAGGGAGCTGCCGGAGGCCGGGTCCCCGCAGGGGACGGAGGCGACGGAGGCGCCGCCCCGGCCCGGCCTGCGGTACAACTCGCCGCTGGTCCAGGTGTCGCTGATCGGGCTGGTGTGCTTCTGCTGCCCGGGCATGTTCAACGCGCTGTCCGGGCTGGGCGGCGGCGGGCAGTTCGACCACACCACGGCCGACAACGCCAACACGGCGCTCTACGCCTGCTTCGCCGTCTTCGGCGTCCTCGGCGGCGCCGCGCACAACCTGCTCGGCCCGCGCCTCACGCTGCTCCTGGGGTCCCTCACCTACCCGCTCTACGCCGCCTCCTTCCTCTACTACAACCACCACAAGTCCCAGACGTTCCCCATCACGGCGGGCGCGCTGCTCGGCGCCGGCGCGGGCCTGCTCTGGGCGGCGCAGGGCGCCATCATGACCTCCTACCCGCCGCCCAACCGCCGGGGCAGCTACATCTCGCTCTTCTGGTGCCTCTTCAACCTCGGCGGCGTGCTGGGCGGCCTCCTCCCCTTCTCCTTCAACTACGCCCGCACCGACGCCGGCAGCGTGAACGACGCCACCTACGCGGCCTTCATCGCCTTCATGCTGCTCGGCGCCGCGCTCACCTTCCTCGTCCTCCCGCCCGCCAGGATCGTCCGCGACGACGGCACGCGAGCCACCAGGGTGACCTACTCCTCGGTGTCCACGGAGGGGTGGGAGATCCTCAAGCTCTTCGCCAACTGGAGGATGCTGCTCATCCTGCCGGCGGCATGGGCCAGCAACTTCTTCTACACCTACCAGTTCAACAACGTCAACGGCCTCCTCTTCACCCTCCGCACCAAGGGCCTCAACAACGTCTTCTACTGGGGCGCCCAGATGCTCGGCTCCGCCGGCATCGGCTACTTCCTCGACTTCGGCTTCGCCAGCCGCCGGAAGCGGGGGCTCATGGGCGTCGCCGCCGTCGCCGTACTCGGCACCGCCATCTGGGCCGGCGGCCTCGCGAATCAATTGAGATACCTCGACGGCGAGTTCCCCGACAAGATCGACTTCAAGCAGGGCAGCCGCTACGCCGGACCGTTCCTGCTCTACTTCAGCTACGGCCTCATGGACGCCATCTTCCAGAGCCTCATCTACTGGATCATCGGCGCCCTCGCAAACGACACCCAGATCCTCAGCAGGTACATACTCCAATCTCCAATGCAGTACTATATGTCTGATGAATTCAATCCCTCACTGATTTTGGATTGGCAACAATTTATCATAATACTGTCTGTACTTGAATTGGTTAACTGTTAAGTTAGTATTTGGGATAAATAGCATTATTTAAATATATAGTGCTCGTGTTAACTACGTAGTAGAATCCACTGTTTGATAGAAGAACATAACTGTTCTTCTTCTGATGCTTCTCACTCTGCTTTAGGAAAGTTTCAAAGTACAGTACTAGATAAGATGCTCCTTAAACTTTGGAAGGAGAGTCCACTGACTTTACACGGCTAGGCCTTTGGTTCAATATTAAAATGCTTGATGAAATATGCCATCTGAATCATCATCAGTGTGGAAAAGGGGGTCAACTTTTTCATGTAAAAGACTAGTAGTACTACACTTAACTGAAGTGTGATGACCTTACCATGACCATCACGACAGATACTCCCTTTGTTAAGGCAAAATGATGCCTTGACTTCTGAATTCTGCCCCCTTCCAAAATCTGATTACAGGGGAATCAACATTTCAGTCTCACATTTTCCCCCTTTGGAATTTAGATGTCAGAGTCTTGTTTGCTGTCTGAAACCTACTAGTGTTATCCATCTTCAGAAATTCTTGCCCAATTTAATGCATCAGAAAAATCTGCCGCTACTGATAGAAACCCCTGAATGAATGAATGAATGAATGATCGGTGCGGCAGTTAGGCATCCTTAGACGAAAGAGTGGTCTTTCAGGTTTGGTGCTTACACCCAATAAATTTGATACCTTATAGGTTGTGATGGATAAGGATTCTTCTTATCCAGCTACATTTTCCTTCTCTTTTATGAGAATAAATTCACAACGTTGCTCTCCATAGGCCGGTCCTAAAAAAAAAAACTAAAATGGTCCTTAGTGTCATAGTCTGTGTGAAGAGGCCTTGGTGTGTAAGTAATCCTTTCTCAAGTCTGAACAGTCGTCTCATGCATCATCCTTAGCATGATGTATCCTCAATTCCTCATGCATAATGCATTTGGTGTTGGTGTTGCTCAATAAAATTGCTCTTCTGAACAAAAGTCGTATATGCAATCGGTGTTTGTCAATCAAATAATTGTCTAAATAAATTTTCAACTTGTGTTTGTCAATCAAATAATTGTCTGAATAAATTTCCAACTTGTGTTGCAGATACGTTGGTTTCTACAAGGGTGTGCAAAGCGCAGGAGCAGCCGTGGCATGGCAGGTGGACACCCACAAGACATCCCTGCTGTCGCAGCTGATCGTCAACTGGGGGCTGTGCACCGTCAGCTACCCGCTGCTGGCCGTCCTGGTGCTCCTGGCCGTGAAGGACGAGGACTACTCCGTGTCCAATGTCGACGACGGCGGCAAGGAGAAAGAGACCAAGATGGCCGCGCCATCAAGCTTCCACTGAGAAGAGGATACATTTCAGTTATTCATCCGCGTGTTCGCCTGCCGCAACATCTCTCGAGCACAATGGTTTAGACCGCGGTGTAGGCGTGAGTGCTCGCTGCTCGACCGTGGCTGAGCAATCTTCGTGTTGTGTCAGATTGTTACTCCAGTGTGTGTGTGGTTCATGGTGGTGGTGGTGTTTACTGGTAACATCATGTGTTAACTTTTTCTCTGTTTTTATTGTCTTCAGTTCATTTGAGCTGCAGTATACAGTATACAGTTTCATTGCTTGTTCAGTCAAGAAATGGTAACCAGTTCTGCGTTGCGCGCTTCTCTTCTTCCGTGCGACTTCCGGCTCGTATTTGATCCAACGGAAACGGAATCCTGAACTGCAGATAGATAGTTCTGCGTTTTCTGAATTTTCTGTGAATTTTCAGTCTGGAGTAGGCATATGCTGAGCATATTATGGATAGGAAGCAGCATGCTCTCGGAATTCCTGGCGTGCCGGCAAATGTTATCATGCTACAGCACAGACAATCCTCTCTCGGAAAGGAAAAAAAAAAACACAGACGATATGCTAATATACTCTGAATGCAAGCAATCTTCTGTTCTTGAAATAGTATGTCCGAAAATTTTGGCATGCTGCTTAATAAGCTAATAAAAAAGCTTAAAAAAAGATTGCCGAGCATATTTGTCATATGCTTGCTTAGCTAGACGGTGGCCTCAATCATTAATCCTTGAGTTTGTATGCTGAGTGTGCATGCCGCGCACGGAACCACCACAGCACGAGCCACCTGACGGCGCTCGTGTGTTTGGTGTGCCTCCATTTGGGCACGCCCAGTGAGCTGACTGCTCACTTAAGAGGTGGTTCTCGCACGCTCGAGTGGCCGAGGTGGGACTAAACAAAACTGTGTCCATTCTTGAGGGGCTGAAGTCTGAAGGCTGTGAGCACTGAGCAGTGTGACCTGTGTGAGCAGCTGCTACTGGGCTGGGCCGCATGGAGAAATGGTGAGGTAACCTGTGTTCGCATTCTTGAGGGGTCGCCGCCGTCGCCATGCTGCTGGACACTCCAGAGCCTCATCTACTGGACATCGGCGCGCTCGCCAACGACTAGCAAACCCTCAGCAGGTACACACTCCAATACAGTGCATGTCTGATGAATTCAGTTCCTGGCATATTTTGGATTGGTAACAATTTATCATGATCCACTCATAGTCATATTGGGTACTAATAATGACCAATCTTAACCTTGTTTAAGATACTATATACTTGAATTGGTTAACTGTTAATTTGGTATCTGGGATAAATAGGATTATTTAAACATAAAATGCTGAATTGTGAATATAAAATGCTGAATTGGTTAACTAGAAGCCACTGTTTGATAGAACACATTTCCTTCTGAACTGATAGTTCTCACTCTGTTTGATACTAGCAGACTGCTTAGGAAAGTTCCACATTGGATAAGATACTCCTTAAATTTTGGAGAGTCCACTAACTTTACACGGCTAGGTTCAATATTAAAATGCTTGAAGCATGCCATGTGAATCATCATCAGTGTGGAAACGGGGTGATCTTTTCTTGTAATATACTCCCTCCATCCTAAAATAATTGTCGCTGATTTAGTACAAAGTTAGGGCGGAGGGAGTAGTACTTAACTGAAGTGAGTGTGTGTGATGACCTGGGGGGGCTTGAAGTGCCATGACCATCACGGCAGATACTCCCTCCGTCCGGAAATACTTGTCATTGAAATGGATGTATCTAGATGTATTTTAGTTCTAGATACATCCATTTTCATCCATTTTGATGACAAGTAATTCCGGACGGAGGGAGTACTAACTAGTTAAGACAAAAGGGAAACATCATTTCAGTCTCATTCTTTCCCCCTCTTGAAATTAGGTGTGAGAGTCTTGCCTGCTGTCTGAAACCTAGTGTTATCCAGCTTCAGAAATTCTTGCCCACCTGTTCTGCTTCTGTATATTGATAGGAATGTGCTTACAACAATAAATTCGATTCCTGGTAGGTTGTGATAGATAAGGATTTTTATTCAGCCACCTTTTTCTTCTCTTTTCTTAGAATAAATTCACAATGTTGCTCTCCATAGGCCGGTCCTAAGAAATAAACTAAAATGGTCCTTAGTGTCATAGTCTGTGTGAAGAGGCCTTGGTGTGTAAGTAATACTTTCTGAAGTATGGACAGTCGCATGCATCATTCTTAGCATGCATTTGCTATTTCTTTCAAGTACAAGGTGGGCATACTCATGCATAATGCATTTGGTGTTGGTGTTGGTGTTGGTCAATAAAAATTGCTCTTCTGAACAAAAGTATATGCAATATGTGTTGGTCAATATATCAAGTAGCTGTCTGAATAAAATTTCCAACTTATAATGCAGATACGTCGGCTTCTACAAGGGTGTGCAGAGCGCAGGAGCAGCCGTGGCATGGCAGGTCGACACCCACAAGACGTCCCTGCTGTCGCAGCTGATCGTCAACTGGGGCCTGTGCACCGTCAGCTACCCGCTGCTCGCAGTCCTGGTGCTCCTGGCCGTGAAGGACGAGGACTACTCGGTGTCCAACGTCGACGACGCCGGCAAGGAGAAAGGGCCGCCCCGTCAAGCTTCCACTGAGAGGATACATCAGTTATTCATCAGCATGTTCGTCTGCCGCGACATCTCACAAGTACAGTGGTTTAGGCCTTGGTGTAGGCGTGAGTGCTCGCTGCTCAGTCATCATGCGATCTTCGTGCTGTGTCCAACTGTTACTCCAGCGTGTTTGCACTTCATGGTGGTGGTGGTGGTGTTCATTCATTGGTAACATCGTGTTATATTTTTCTCTCTGTTTTCATTGTCTTCGGTTCACTTTAGCTGCAGTAAATGGTAACAACACAGAGAATACAGTTTCATTGCTTGTTCGAACCGCTATGTCAATCAGGAAACGCCATCCGGCTACGCGTTGTGCATTTCTCTTCTTCCGTGCAATCTCTGGTTCGTATTTGAGCTCATGGAAACAGAATTCTGAACTGTCAGGCAGTTCGTTCGAAGTAGGCAACCTGAACAGCTAGTTATGCGTTTTCTGAATTTTTCAGGCAGTCTGGAGTAGGCATATCAAGCTGCAATTTTCAGGTAGTCTGGAGTATGCACATCTTGAACATATGGATAGGAAGCAGCATGATCTTCGAATTCCATGGCGTGCCGGCAAATGTTATCATGCTACAGTACAGATAATCTTCCCTCAAAAAGAAAAATAAATACAAACGATGTGTTTCTTATAACCACTCTTTGGCTAGCTAATGTACTCTGAATACAAGCAATCTTCTTTACCTGAAATGTGTTTGAAAAACTGAGTACAGGCAATCTTCTGTACTTGAGATATGTTTGAAAATTATGCTGCTTAGCTAATAAAAAAAGGTTAATAAAAGATTGCCGAGCATATTTTTGTCATATGCTTGCTTAGCTAGACGGTGGTTAAAAAAAAAACTGCTGTATTTGGCTAGCTAATATACTCTCGCAGTGAACAGCAACTTACACGAGAAGTGTCAAACGTTTGTAACACATAAATAAACAGAGTAAAAAGAAAAAAGATTGCCGAGCATATTTGACATATGCGTGCTTAGCTAGACGGTGGCCTCAATCATTAATCCTTGACTTTGTATGCTGGGTGTGCATGCCGCACACGGAACCACCACAGCACGCTCGTGTGCTTGGTGTGCCTCCATTCTGGCACGCCTACTCAGCTCACTGCTCACTTAAGAGGTGCTTCTCACACCACTGAGTGGCCGATGTGGGACTAAACAACAAGGAAACTCTGTCCATTCCCATTCGGCATTCGCGTGGAGGGGCTGAGGCGTGAAGGCTGTGGGCTGTGAGCAGCTGCTGCTGGGCTGGGTCCGCGAGAAATTCGGATTCATACCGGAGTAAGCACTGCAGTAATTTTGACTGCCTTGTCTAACAAAAAGTAATTTTGATTGCCTCAGTGCTCTGGATGTGAAATGCAATTACCTACTGTGCTGGGCCGCATGGAGAAGAAATGTAATAATGATAGGCGGCTGCGTTTGACACTGGTTGATTAACCAATCCATTTCTAGATTTTACAGTTGAAAAAAAAATCGGTATTGCTCTGCTTACGACTTCGTAGGTACGATTCACGGCTGACCCAGTGATCCAACGATTGCTGTTGATGCATAGATTTGATCGGAGGGTGACTGAGCAAAGTCGTACAGCATCGGACAAAAATTCATCGTACGCCTAGCACCTCTCAAAAAAAAAATCTAGTTTCATGACTATTTTTTCAAAGCAGTCTATACCACAACACAGTTCAGCAACGGGCGAACGAAGGACAATTTTTGCCTATTTTGGTGCTAGTTTGAACCATTTATCTCTAGGTTTTCAAGTTGAATTTTTTTTATCTCTAGTTCCATGACTGTTTTTCACAGCAGATCATATCGCAACACAGTTCAGCAACCGCAAAACTGACCCTGGTTCCGCAGCGCAATGGAGAAATGTATACAAATACGTAAAATGGAGTTCCGCAGCGCAAACAGATATTGCTTTATTGAGATAATTATTAAGCTTATAGCATCCAGATAGCTACAGTCACGAAAACGGGAGTACAAAGGTCACCCTGAAAACTGGCCCAAAATTTCAAAAACAATTACTTATCAGATATGCCTACAGTCACAAAACAATTTTACATGTTGACACAGTAGCACCTGAAATAGGGCCCACTGCCAACCTTTACCTTGTATATGCTCAATGTCACAGGATCTTCTACACGAGCTCGAGAACAAGCGCGGATGCTCCGCCACCGCCATTGCAGACGCCAGCGACCCGACTTTGCCACCCTTCTCCCCGAGGACCTGTGGAGCAGCAACATGGTTAGGGCATTTCTAACCAATCCCCTATCCGGCATTAGAGGAGTACAAAGTCGGTTGGACGGCGAACCAGACTGTTTCTTGAGGCGACACAGCCGTAAGGCTCGCAACAAGCAAGCTACAGTGTTGCCCGCTGGTCGTTCCATTTGCTGGGAG